TCCCGGCGACCGTCCCCATTCCCGCCTAGAAGCGCTTCCCGGAGGGAGCCCAGCCCGGCCGGGGGTCCCAGGGCACGGAGGAAGGGGGCAGCGCAGCACTGACCTGCCCTGGAGCTGCCTGGGGTCCTTGGGAAGCCCGTCCGGATGTTCCCACAGCCCCAAAGGACACTCCAAGGACAGCACCTGCTGCTCTTCTCCCACTCCCTGCCCCAGCACTCCCGCCAACACCCATTCCCTCTATCCAAGTTTTTATATTCCCATCTTTGCCAGCCCCCCCCTCTCCAAACAAAGGGCTCCAAACGCAGCCAAGGGAAACCCCTCCTCCAAGGACAGCACCTGCTGCTCTTCTCCCACTCCCTGCCCCAGCACTCCCGCCAACACCCATTCCCTCTATCCAAGTTTTTATATTCCCATCTTTGCCAGCCCCCCCCTCTCCAAACAAAGGGCTCCAAACGCAGCCAAGGGAAACCCCTCAACCAGCAGGACCCCAACACTCACATCCCTCAAACTGGGAGATGAAGACAGGCAGCTCTCAGAGCTCATCAACACATCCAGCACGTGCAGGACACTCCACCTTCTCCTTCCCTATCTGCACATCTCCAGCAGGCATTTCCCACATCTCGGAAGTCTCCAGTTCTCACTTCACCTTCTCCAAGTACCAGTCCCAGAAGTTGTTCGTTCTTCTCGTGACTCAGTTCCCAGCTGGATCTCAGCACTCCTGGACTGTTCCTCCCATCCCAAACTATCTCCCTGTTCCCCATTTTAGAAGCACACCTGATTTCCAGGTGATCAGTGTCATCACAAAAGTTCTGCTGCCTCCTGGAGAGCTTGGTGGGTTTAGACAGAGCCCAGTCCCACCTCAGGAGAGGCTTCGAGTGCAAGAGCTGTTCTTGTGCGATAGAAAAGGCTCCAGGGAGACCTTAGAGCAGCTTCCAGTTCCTGAAGGGGCTCCAGGAAAGCTGGGGAGGGGCTTGGGACAAGGGCAGGGAGGGAGAAGGGGGGATGGATTAAAACTGGAAGAGGGGGGGACATGAGGAGGAAGTTCTTCCCTGTGAGGGTGGTGAGAGCCTGGCCCAGGGTGCCCAGGGAAGCTGTGGCTGCCCCATCCCTGGCAGTGTTGAAGGGCAGGTTGGATGGGGCTTGGAGCAGCCTGGGCTGCTGGGAGGTGTCCCTGCCCATGCAGGGGGTTGGATCTAGATGGTCTTTAAGGTCCCTTCCAACCCAAACCAGTCTTTGATTCCATTATTCCAGTGAATTTGTTCCAAGGGAGGCCTGCACACACACCACACACTGGTCCAGCTGCAGGGAAGTTTTTTCCCCACAGAATCACACACTTTGCTTCCTGTAAGCATGAGGAACACATGCTTAGGTGCTGGTAATCCTTTAGGCTTCGAAAAAAACAGGAACATCCCAGTTCTCACTCACTCAAAGAGCCAAGAGACAGTTCTCAGCCCAAGGCTGATCCCCACCCTCCCTGCCTGCTCCTCCTCCAACCTCTCAAGCTCAAGCCACAGAGCCCACCCTGTGCCACACGTTTCCTCACCTTCATCCCCCCCAGAACCCACAGGATGGAAGGAACACCCCAGTGCAACAGCTGCTTTAGGGACACTGCCACAGTGCCTGACTTTGGAGCCACACTTCTGAGCAGCTCCACTGGATCTTCCCCCAGGCAACCGATGCTCCCTCCAGGACTGTCACCTCATTTGTCCTCCAGCCTATGCCACACTTGTTCCACTGTGCACTCCCAACACCACCTGCTTCCCAGCTCTGTCACTCCTTTCAGATCACAAAACCAGCCCACTTTCTTCTCTGCAAAGCACCATTCCTTCCATCCAACAATTTGAAAAGCAACTTTGGAAGAGGCAGGCTCAAGACAATCTTTGATAGACACACAGACCATTTCTCCACCTCCCAGCTCTCCCAGCCCAGGGGACAGAGACAAAGCAAGAAATCCTTTCCTCGGCGAGACACCAGGACAAAGATCATCCCTTGGATTGGTTTCACTTCATTGTATTTTCTTTGACAAAGCAAGCAACAACAACCATGACTGAGCTGCAGGGAAGTCACAGGGCTTTGGACGGCAGCATTCCCAGGGAGGCACTGAGGATGCAGTTCCCTGGGATGGAGAATCACTCCAGTTCCACTCCCTTCCTAGCACAATTCCACCCGTTCCATCCAGAGCTGCTCCTCAACCTTTCTTCTCTATAAAGGCAGTGTGCAGGCCCTGCAGGTAATTCACTATCTTCTCCTCTATTTCCATGCCTTGAGCTATTTCCTCCTCAGAAAGAGATAAAGGAGTCTGTGAGTCTTTGGTCACAATAATAACAGAGGTTCTCCTGGACTCCAGGATGTTGGCGACCACCACCTGGTGCCTGTATTTCTCCAGAGCCTGGAGGGATTTATCCATCAGGATCAAGGGATCTGTCTCCAGTTTGAAGGAGATGACAAAAGCCTCTGGGGCCCACTCCTTGACGAGAGGAGACAGCATTTTTGGCACCATCTTCATTGTGATCTACATTGGGGAAGGACAAACAAGAGACACATTTCTGTTTAGGAAGAGCTGGAAGGGGTGTTGGGGAAAATTCCAGCTTCCCTTCCTGTTTTATTGACACTGGGAAGTTTTCCAAAGCAGTATTTGATCAGACCTCACCAAACCAGGTGAAAATGTCACTGGCATGAACTGTAAAATTAAATCCAATTAGCAGTTTGATGTGAACAATTAGCAGGGTGTTCTCCAGCAAGGAAGGAGCCCCCTCCAAGTGACTGCATGAACTCCAAAGTCCAGTCACCTTGTCAAATCTTAACCCTTCTTTCCAGCAGCTCTTCAAGGCACATGAAACATACATATGCCAAACTCTGGGGGAAAAAGGAGGAGTCTGTTCTCCAGCTTCTTAACCCCTGGGTCTGCCACTGGGAATTGGGCAGGGCCTCATTTTTCCTACATTAAGGATAGAGAATGAAGCCCAGCAACTTGTTAAAAGCTAACTGAAGTGCTCCAGCAGCAAGTGTTCCTCAGCTGAGATCCACCATCTACTCATACTGATGTTGCAAGCATGTACAGCTGCAAGGGGTTATTCCCACGGGATGCTGCTCCCATGGAAACACACCCTCCCATTCCCTGAGAAAACACACATGGATTTTGGCCAGCAAGTTGCTGCTTTTGCAGCTTTCCCAGGTCTCACCCACTGCCAGTGACCCTGGCAGGACATGGGGACAGGCAGGGGGTGGGGAAGGAGGAGGGGGGTGTTGGGGACATGTCCCCGGGGTGTCTGACCTGCAGGGGCCCCTCCGAGGACTGGATCTTGTGCTCAGGCATCTCGGAGGCAGGGATGTAGAAATCAGACACAGCAGCTGCCAGGTAAAACATGACGCTGGAGCCTGCCAGGAACAGCAGTGCAGTCAGGCCGGGCTGCCCACCCCCACTCCAGGGTGGGCCAGAGCCACTGAGACCCCCCCACAGCACCTCAGGGAGCCCAAGAACCCCCTCAGAGAACCCCCTGTCACTGACCAGCTCTGACCTGAGCAGGGCAGTGCTGGCCCCAGCACTGGGACCGCTCACACTGGCACCCCCCAAGGCCACCTCATCCTCTCTCACCAAACCCCCAGGGACACCTCAGCCCCTCGTGCCAGGCTGGAGCCCCCAGGGGACCCTCCTCCCCTCATACCAGAGCCCCACGGTCACCTGGTCCCCTCATGCCTGGTGACCCCAGCGCTGGTGACCACCCCCCAGGTGCCTCATCCCCCTCCCCCCTTGGTCCTCGGGGCCACCCCAGCCCCTCACACTAGATCCCCAGAGTAATTTGGGGATCTCATTGTCCCCTCATACCTGAACCCTGGGGCTACCCTGCCCTCCCATCCTGGGGTCACCTCGTCCCCCTCACACAGGGAACCCCTCCAGCTGCCTCCTGCCCGGGTTCCCCCCGATGTCCCCTCATGCCCAGGCTCCCCCTGATGTCCCCCAGTTCCCTCATGCCCAGGGTCTCTCCAATGTTCCCCTGTTCCCTCATGCCCAGGTTCCCCCCCGATGTCCCCCCAGTGTCCCCCTATGCCTGGGTTCTCCCCAATGTCCCCTCATGTCCCCTCACACCTGGTTTTCCCTCAATGTCCCCTCATGCCCGGGTTCCCCCTGATGTCCCCCTGTCCCCTCATGCCCGGGTTCCCCCAGTGTCCCCTGATGTCCCCTCATGGCCGGGGTCTCACCAGGCCCAGGACACAGGGACAAGGCCCAGGACACAGGGACCAGACCCGGGACAGCCTCGGGACACAGGGACAAGGCCCAGGACACAGGGACCAGGCCCAGGACACAGGGACAAGGCCCAGGACACAGGGACCAGACCCGGGACAGCCTCGGGACACAGGGACAAGGCCCAGGACACAGGGACCAGGCCCAGGACACAGGGACAAGGCCCAGGACACAGGGACCAGACCCGGGACAGCCTCGGGACACAGGGACAAGGCCCAGGACACAGGGACCAGGCCCAGGACACAGGGACAAGGCCCAGGACACAGGGACCAGACCCGGGACAGCCTCGGGACACAGGGACAAGGCCCAGGACACAGGGACCAGGCCCAGGACACAGGGACAAGGCCCAGGACACAGGGACCAGACCCGGGACAGCCTCGGGACACAGGGACAAGGCCCAGGACACAGGGACCAGGCCCAGGACACAGGGACAAGGCCCAGGACACAGGGACCAGACCCGGGACAGCCTCGGGACACAGGGACAAGGCCCAGGACACAGGGACCAGGCCCAGGACACAGGGACAAGGCCCAGGACACAGGGACCAGACCCGGGACAGCCTCGGGACACAGGGACAAGGCCCAGGACACAGGGACCAGGCCCAGGACACAGGGACAAGGCCCAGGACACAGGGACCAGACCCGGGACAGCCTCGGGACACAGGGACAAGGCCCAGGACACAGGGACCAGGCCCAGGACACAGGGACAAGGCCCAGGACACAGGGACCAGACCCGGGACAGCCTCGGGACACAGGGACAAGGCCCAGGACACAGGGACCAGGCCCAGGACACAGGGACAAGGCCCAGGACACAGGGACCAGACCCGGGACAGCCTCGGGACACAGGGACAAGGCCCAGGACACAGGGACCAGGCCCAGGACACAGGGACAAGGCCCAGGACACAGGGACCAGACCCGGGACAGCCTCGGGACACAGGGACAAGGCCCAGGACACAGGGACCAGGCCCAGGACACAGGGACAAGGCCCAGGACACAGGGACCAGACCCGGGACAGCCTCGGGACACAGGGACAAGGCCCAGGACACGCGCAGGACACAGGGACAAGGCCCGGGACACAGGGACCAGACCCGGGACACAGGGACCAGACCTGGGACACAGGGACCAGACCTGGGACAGGCCCAGGACACAGGGACCAGACCTGGGACAGGCCCAGGACACAGGGACCAGACCTGGGACAGGCCCAGGACACAGGGACCAGACCCGGGATACAGGGACCAGACCTGGGACACAGGGACCAGACCCGGGACACAGGGACCAGGCCCAGGACAGGCCCAGGACACAGGGACTAGACCCAGGACAGGCCCAGGACACAGGGACCAGACCCGGGATAAAGGGACCAGACCTAGGATACAGGGACCAGACCTGGGACACAGGGACCAGACCCGGGACACAGGGACCAGGCCCAGGACAGAGGGACCAGGCCCAGGACAGGCCCAGGACACAGCGGGGGAGCCGCGGTGAGAGCGGGAAGCAGGAAGGAAGGGCCAGGACAGGGCTGAGGGGAATGTCCAGAGCGAGGTCCCCAGACTGGAACAGGCCCGGGCACGGGGGTGAGGCCCGAGGGATGAGGGCTGGGATGGAACCAGGGAGAGGCCTCCGGAGGGAGCTGAGCAGGAGGCAGGGATGGTGCTTCCTCACTGCCTGCCCTGCCTGCCTCTGGCTGGGGGCTGAGCTGGGAGCTGAGCTGGGAGCAGAGCTGGGAGCAGGGAGCAGAGCTGGGAGCAGGGAGCAGAGCAGGGAGCAGGGCAGGGAGCAGAGCGGGGAGCA